GGTTTCTTTTGAGAAATCAGCTGATAGTTTCTTATGGGAATTTCTTTATAAGTAACTGTTTTCTCTTGCTGCCTTTAAAAAAAAGGTTTTATTTATTTATTTTTATTCAGAGCGGGAGGAAGGTAGAGAAATATCAATGTGTGGTTGCTTCTCATGTATCCCCTACTGGGGACATGGACCAAAACCCAGATATGTGCCCTGATTGGGAACTGAACCAGTGACCCTTCAGTTTACAGGCCAGCTCTCAATCCACTGAGCCACACCAGCCAGGGTTTCTCTTGCTGCTTTTAAGATTATCTTCTTGTCTTTCATCTTGGGTAATTTAATAATGATGTGTCTTGGTATGTTCCTCTTAGGGTCCAACTTATTTGGGACTTTCTGAGCTTACTGGACTTGTATGTCTATTTTCTTTGCCAGATTGTGTAAGTTTTCCTTCACTATTTGTTTAATGTGTTTTCAATGTCTTGCTCTTTCTCTTCTCCTTCTGACACCCCTGTGATTTGGATGTTGGAATGTTTAAAGTTGTCCTGGAGGTTTCTCAGCCTCTCCTTATTTTTTAAAATTCTTGTTTCTTCATTCTGTTCTGGTTGAATGTTTACTTCTTCCTTCTGCTCCAAGTCATTGATTCGAGTCCCCATTTTCTTTCCCTTCACTGTTGGTCCCCTGTATATTTTTCTTTATTTCACTTTGTATAGCCTTCTTTTCTTCCTTTATTTAGTGTCTTTACCCAGTTATTTCTGGAAACATCCTAATTACCAGTGTGTTTGAACCCTGCATCTGATAGGTAGGCTATCTCTTCATTGCTTAGTTCTTTTTCTGGAGTTTTGATCTGTTCTTTCATTTGAGACATATTTCTTTGTCTCAACACACCTGTTAAGGTATAGAGGGTTGAGTCTTAGGTATTGGCCAGGGCAGGGCAACCCACTTTGCTTTGTTGTGGCACTGTATGTGGGGCAGGGGTCAGAGATGGAACAATACCACTTACTTGGCTCTTGCCCTACTTTCAGTCACTTCTCCCACTTCCCCAAATGAACTGTGCCCTTTCAGGTGCTGCTCTGGTGCTGATTCCTGGGTGGGCAGGCTTGTGTACATTCTAGAACCCTCTGAGCCCCTCTGATGGACTTTCCTGTGAGACTGGCAGTTTCTTTTGCCACTGCAGCCCCCACAGGTTTTTACAACCAGAGGTTTTGAGGCTTTATTTTCACAGGCTGGAACCCTGGGTTGCATGGTCTGCCTCACACCCCATTCGTTCCTCCCAGTTTATCTGCACACAAATGTGGGATTGCCTGGTCCTCCAGCCACTGCCTTGCCAAGTGTCATTTCCACTCCAGCTGCCTGTCTTCACCCTCCTACCAGTCTAGATGAATGTTTATTCTTTAACTCCTGGGTTGTCAGACTTCCATACAGTTTGATTTTCTGGCAGTTCTGTTTTTTTTTAATTGGTTGTTATTTTTTTTGGTTGTGTGAAGAATTAAAATGTATACCTATATCTCCCATCTTGGCTGGAAGCTCCAGGAGCTTCTTCCATCAACTCAATCCCTGCTGATTTTTGCAGCCAGAAGTTATGGGAACTTATCTTCCAGGCACTGGAACCCTGAGCTGAGGGGCCTGCTGTGGGGCTGCAACTCCTCACTCCCAAGATAGACTCCTGAATTTTTATCCACTGCCTGTGGATGTGGGACCAGCCTGGTCCGTGTTTCCACCCCTCCCACCAGTCTAGATGGATGTGGTTTCTTTAATTCTGTAAATGCCAGACTTCCATTCAACCCAATTTCTGATGGTTCTGAGTAACGTTTGTTCTAAAAATTTAGTTGTAATTTTGATGTGGTTGTGAGAGGAGGTGAGCCACGTCTGCCTGTGCCACCACCTCGACCAGAACTCTTGGAATGTTTTTTTGAAGGGACCTTTTTCGGTGGTGCACAACTACAGCAACCGCATGTGACAGCGCTGCACAGAGTCAGTAAAAACAAGCTGGCTCTTTCCTCTGGTCCCCTGCCAAGACTGAGCAACCTGCTCCCCTGAAGGGAATACTGGCTCTATTAGACCCAACAAACAGTTCCAGACTGACAGCAGAAGACCATGCAAGAGATTTCCTGGGGTGATTTTGATAACCTTTGATTTTCTTGCTATCCAGCCTTTCTACACAGGGTGATCCTGCTTCTCTGGGATGTTTAGTCAGCATAAAATAGGCTTGGAATGGACAATGAATAGGAAATAAAATTCAAATGACTAATAAACAAATGGAGGGAATATTAGAATCATTTGTTAGTCAAGTCCAAAGTCTTCCTCCCTGTCTTTGCTTTTCTAGAACTTTCTACAAGAAAGATTGAAAGGAAGGGGGGCAGAGACAGATTTTCTTTTTCTGTCTGCCTACTGTCCTGGTTATATAGTCCCAGCAGCAATAAAAGATCATGACAGTGGCAGTTGGTTCCACACTTCTTTCGGGACTTTTGGAGGGGCCTCCCAGGACCAGTCTCACCATGCAGTGAACGTTCAAAGTCCCATCTTTGCTGAATTCCTCTGGGTCCCTACATTACCAGTAACAGCCAGCTGGAGCCCTTCCTCAAAGGTGGGAGGTCCTGCTCTGAGTTGCTGACCTTCTTTCTAGCACCTGCTCTCCCAGCCAGAGGGCACAGTAGCTGCTCCCACAGTTGCTCCCTCCAAAGAACCTCAGTGCTCCGATTCTGCCCTTTTAGCCCTTTAACACCCATAACTCATTCCATCTATTAAATTCTCTTTGGTGAAATACCTAACATATCATGTGTTTATCCCAGTTTGTTCCTAGATTCTGATATTTAGGTTCTTTCTTATTTTTTTCTATTAAGGACAATGCTGCAATGCACATTTGTACCCATTCCTGGTACACATAGGTGAGAGCTTTCTTATAATGTGGAGCCAGAAGTAGGCTTGCTAGGTGACATGGATTGACATATTCTTTTTTACTGGACAAAATCCCTCCCTGCACTTCAGAGAAGCATTTTTAGTCTCCATTTTGCTCATCACATTTTACATCTCACTTTTCCTTCCTTGTGGTATTACTAATGGCCATTAGACCCAAAGATGGAAGCCGCCTTGGTTTCTCTTTGACAGAATGCTGGCAGAAGGGCCTGGGGTGCACCGGAGTTGTCCTGATAAAGCTATTCTAGGTCCCTGGCACTGTTTGACTTTGAGAGCTGGGAGCATCGGACCTCTGAGGGCCAATGCTTTGGGAGGTGGAGCAGCTTTCCTACCTGATAACTCGGTTGAGTTATAAATACTTTCAGACACTTTTTTATACTAGTTACTGCCAAGACACCTGTTGTCCAACTATGCATGGGTCCTCGAGGTCTAACAGCTTTGGGACTTTCCAAGCCTGAGGCACTGGAATCTTTGCCAGGCTGGGTGCCACAAAGCCAAGGCTCCAGCCCCTCACCTGAGGTCCTGCCACCTCTCACCTCCCCAGCGTCCTGCCAGGGAACCTGCCTCAGTGCATACCCATTTTCTTCCTTTCCTGTCTCAGGGACTCTCCGTCTGAGGCACACACAGGCATGTGCACACACACGTCCATGAGAGGCTATCTCCCAGCCTGGGTTCGGATGGTGGCCTCCAGGTGCAGCCACAGTGACTGGGACACCAGAAACTCTGTCTCAGTTTCCAAGTCAGTGAACAGGAATCCTGACGATGACCCGAGACTCAGCTTCTCAACTACCTTGAAAGTTTGAGGCTAACTAGCTGAAAATAATGATTATTCACAACAACTCTATGAGGTGGGCAGTGTGGTTCCTACTGTTCAGGTGAAAAAGGCGAGGCCCAAAGATAAAATAACTTGCCCATGTGGCAAGGTTGTGACTTGAACAAGAGCAGGCCTGACTTGCCACTTTCTAACTTACTACGGAAACTCCTTGGGTGTAAAGCAGTGGAAAAGCTGGGAATGTGCTTACCCAGGCCTGCTCCAGCTTCCTGTCTGTACATGCATGCCTTTCCAAACTGCCTGTGATGACCGTGGACAAAGGATGCCAGCAAGTTGAGCCTGGGTCATACTTTGTATATATCTGAATGCTTTGACTTCTTCACTCTGACAAACGCCACAGCTTTGGTTTCATTTTCTCACCTGCTCCCGCCTGTGTACACGCCCTCGCATGGAGCAAGCTGTCCCCTGCTCACCAGGGCCTGTTCTTTCTGGGGTAGCCAGGCCATGGCCTAGGAAACGTACATCAGGACTGCAGCTTCCCTCATGACGAAATATGAAAAAAACGCGAAGCCGGAGTTACTCAATGTTTTTAAATTCAGGTCTTTATTTTTCCTGTGCAAATATGAATGTAGGCATAATTAGTAGTTAAGGCTTTTAAAATACATGCATTTTGAGAATACATTGCTAGTTGTATTTTGCTGATGATGTGAGCTTTGATCATAATTTCATTTAATAAACCTTTTAAATTCATTAAAAAAATTAAAATGGTGAAACGAGTCATAATAAAAACCAGAAGAGACCCTTAAAAATCCACAATACATATTTGAAAATGCAGACCTTTGGTATGAACTATATCAGGGCCCAGTAATGTGGCCTATGGATTATAACACAGAGACTTCGAAGTTGCCAAAGCAAAATGGGGCATTTTATCTCAGAAGAGAGAGGAAAGGGGTGTGTGTGCGCGTGTGTAAGAAAGAGAGAGAGAGAGAGATAGTGATGAGAAAAGGAGGAAAACTTGCCCATACGACTTGTCTACATTAGGAGAGCGACTCCTCTTGGGATGATTTACGATGCATATTTAAGCAAAGGCTCATCATTAAGATTATACTTTGTAATCATAGAACTCATCTACATAAATATCTTATGAAATGTTAATTGAATCCTATTTACTAGATTTTTTAAAAAGCCACATTCTGCACTCCATGTGCTTTTTTGCTAGCTAAAAGCTTTGCCTCGAGATGTAATTCTAAGGGAGGGTGAGGCTTCCTTGGGGAGAATGCGCAGTTTGCAAAGATATGGCCTAAGGATCACATCTTCTTAAAGTCTCAGTTGTCAGCTTTGTTTGGCTGAGAACCTCATTCCAACCACCAGCCTGAAAGGCTCTCCCCTAAACATAACTCCTGCTCCTGCCAGGACAGGCCTCCTCAGAGCCCCAACTCAAGGACAAGAGAGGCTATCTTTGAAACCCTTTGGCAAGTGGGAAGGAAGGTCTCCTTCTCCAACTGAGATGCCCTTTTCCATGAAACAGATCCCCATTTCTCAGGGGCTGGATGGCGGCATGTCTGGATTTGCATCACAGACTTGAAGTGACTTCAAATGGGTGATCTTGCTTCATCCTGTGCTCGTCACAGCACCACTAAAAGCCAGAGGTTCTGGAGAGCCCATGAGGAGATACCAGGTTCAGAAATCTGCCTCAAACTGCCTTGTGTGAGGTTGATTTGAGTTAGTTACTACATTGTATTTTCAGCCTCTTGTTACTTCTCCCTTTATAGCAGGTGATGGAGGAAGGTGCCAGAGGGGAAGCAGGTGGGGGACTAAACCACAGTTCAGTTATTCAAAAGGAAGATCAGAAGTCTATATTCCTTACAGATAAAAAAAATAAGAGTTTCAGTTCCTACATTTTCATATGCTTGGACTGGTGACACCTTGCACTTTACAAAGTCCTGCCCCATGCAGTGTTCATGTGGGCTCCATAATAACCTACCACTTCACTGAGGCTGACATAACAAGTCCCATTTTCTAGATGAGAAACCCAAGGCTCTCTGCCAAGACCACACAGCCTGCAAAGGGCAAGGAGAGCTGGAATGCAGCCCCACCGAGTCCCCTGCTTTGCTGGCTGCCTAGTATCATACTGATAGCTCATTCTGGGAAGCAGGAGACAGACCTCTGTGTTTTCACTGTTGTGTGGGTTCTGGTTCTAGAGCATCCCCATCAAGCAGAGGGCTGCTCCCACAGGCCTTCATCTGGCTTTCTAATTGGCTGAGACGCTGCTTCACTTTCATCTGGCTGGCACTGTACTCAGCCAGGAGCCGTGCAAACCTGGTCTGTAGGGTGTCCAGGGAGGACTCCAGGTGCTCCACCTTCGCCTCGATGTCCTTGGGGTCTGCCTCAGCCTTGGCCAGGTCCTCATCGATCAGGTTGTCCTTCATCAGGATCTGCCGTCCTTTCTCCTCCAGGGCCTTCTTGGCATCAGGGTATTCAGTGAGTGCCTCCATCAGGTCATCCTTGGAAAGGCAGAACAGGTCTGAGTATCCGATGCTCCTGATGTTGGCTGTCCTGCGGTTCCCTGACTTGCTCCCCTTGATATTTAAGATGCTGATCTCCCCAAAGTAACTCCCATCACTGAGGACCACGAATTGGGTGATCCCATCGTCAGCCACCACTGCCAACTTGCCCTCCTTGATGATGTACATCTCCCTGCCGATGTCCCCCTTCTTGCAGATGTAGTCCCCCGGGCTGAACACTGCAGGCCGCAGCTTCAGCACAAGCTCTACCAGGAGTCCAGCCTCACAGTCCTGGAAGATGCGGACCTTCTTCAGTGTGTCCAGGTGCACGTTGATGGCGATCTCAGCCTTCAGCTTGTCTGGGAGGCTCTTGAGCACCTCCTTCTCATCCACTGTCTTCCGGTTGGCCCACAGGTAATCAAACCACCGGATGACCCGTGTCTCCAAGTCCTTGGTCACCTTGCGAAACTGCATGTACTGCTTGATAGAGTCAATCTTGGCCTGGAACTCAGCCCGTGAGGCATTCATGTTTGAGATCATGGAACCCACATTGCCCACAATGGTAGCAAAAATCAGGACACCTACCAGGAAGTCTATGACTACAAAGAGATACTCCTCATCTTTCACAGGGGGCGGGGTCTCACCAATGGTGGTCAGGGTCAAGGTGGACCAATAGAGACTGTAAATGTATTTTCTGGAAAGGCGCCCATACTCTGGGTTTGAGACGTTTGGGTAGACCCAGGAATCTGTCCCGAAGCCAATGGACTTGGAAATGGCAAAGTAGATGCAGGCATTCCAGTGGATGATGACTAGGATGTACAAAACCAAGTTCCCAATCCTGAACACATTGGGGTAGTTGGTCCTCGTTTCTGTGCGGTCAAAGAATTCAAAGAGCCGGGCAAACTTCAGTAGGCGGTTGAACCTCAGTTCTGGGTAGTTCGTACCCAGCTTAAAATAAGCCAGGTCGGTGGGGACCAGGGACAACATGTCCAGCTTGAAGTGCAAGGTTTTTGTGTAATGCCGCCACAGCCTCTTGGCATCTCTGACCATCAGGCCTTGCTCGAGGAAGCCTAGAGAAGGAGATGGAGGTCGTGTGGGCAGAAGCTGGGTCCAAGAGGCCCAAGAAGCTGAGTTTTTTGACCATGGCCCACAGAGAGAGATTTCACAACATGACTACATGAGACATTATAGTTATAGACAAATAATAGAAACCATCTCAAAAACCATACTTATCATCACTGCAGGAAATGCACTCTGATATTTACTAGTCTATAATGTTCTAATCCATTTGGTTCAATTAAAAATATAGATCAGTTGGATCCATTTAAATGTAGATTGGGTATTAAAGATAGAAAGAAATGATTATAAAATTCTGAAACATAAATAAAAGTGATTTTAAAAAAATATTTTATTTATTTTTTAGAGAGAGAGGACAGGAAGGAAAAAGAGTGAGGGAGAAACACCAATGTTTGGTTGCCTCTCATGTGTCCCTTATGAGGGACCCGAACCGGTGACCTTCTGCTTCACAGGCCTGTGCTCAATCCACTGACCTACACCAGCCAGGGCAGAAGTGATATTTTTAATGGGTCCTTTAAAGTTAGAGGTGCATGGTGAAGGGGTTACTACTGTCTGGGATTTGCTTTAAAATGTTCCAGTCAAGAAAAGGGGTGGAAAGCGCAGATGAAACAAGATTAGCGAAATGTTGGTAACCAGTGAAGCTGGGTGAGGGGACACAGAGATCATAATACTACTCGCTCTGACTTCCTGTATATTAGAAAATATGAATTAAAAAATTTAAAGCACAGGTCATAGCCTATCCAGTTGATTTCTCCAGTCACTACTGGGTTATGACCTGCCTGTGAAAGACATCGCCTAGGAAAGCAGCAGAGCTCCTTGCTGGCTGCATACGACTAGCATCCAAGGGGCTTGGAAACATATGAAGCCGGAAACCCACCCCCCACGAATCAGACTGGTCTGGACGTTGGGAGTCACGGGGCACAATTACTGCATTACTGGTGAAATCAATCCAGTGAGCACGACTTACATTGTTTTTCTTCTCCTCTTTTTTAAAACATTTTCAAAAATACACAAAAATAGAAAGAATAATTTAACAAATGTTTTTAGAATTTGGTAAGCATTGAGCCAGCCTGAGGGCTGTGAAACAGCGGAAGCAGGGCCTCTCCCTAAAGTTAGGCCCAGGCACTTGCCACAGGCTGGAGGTGCTGCTGCAGGTCCAGGGCCCTGCTCTGGGGCAGACAGAAGTAGGACTGCCCCCTGGGGGAAAACATCAGCGTGTTGTATGTTAGGGGCACCACACTTCCCAGTCCCCTTTTCCTTATTTCATTCCTTGCTTATACTCATGTGTATTGAGAACTCAGATCATTTCATGACATTCCTTGTGCCCTGAGACTCCTGAATACTTCCTTATTACATTTTCTTTCAATTTTGAAGAGTTTTTTTTTCCCTCTGAAATGTACTCCACAGTCAATTTGTTTTTGTGTCCACCTGTCCCTTGGCTCCCTGTCGAATCTTAAGTTGCCAGGGATAGCACCAAAACACAAGGAGGTCGGGGGTGGTCGACGTCTGAGTCAGAGTAACCTGTCCTCCTGAAGCTTGTTTGAAACAGGGACAGCTGGCCCAATGAGTTGGGCCACTCCAGGAGCCCTTGTGTCTTACATGCGCATGGAGTGGCCGACCCCCAGGACTGGCTAAGTCACCTGTGCAAACCTCCAGCTGTGCACATGAGGTCGTCTGTTAGAATTCTGGGCACTGGTGTGGAAGCAGGGGGCTGCTGGGTAGTGGCTGTGGACTCAGCCAGGCACTCAGCCTCTCTGGGCCTCAGTTTCTAAATCAGCCAACAGCGAGAGTCATGCCTGCATGGCTCTCCCATGCAGCAGTCCTACTGGGGAAACAAGATGTGCTGAAACACTCTGTACGCTGTGAAGCCGTGTGGTTTGTTGCCGTGATCCAGCGGTGTTTATATTGATGACTATGGCACACTTTTTAGTTAAAAAAATCTTGGAAGTCACAAGCAGGGCCTCCACCAGCTTATGTGACATCTCTGCAAATCAGAAAAAGGTGCCCCAAAGATGGGCGGCTTGGAGGCTGAGGCATGGGGGTGTCGATCTCCCACTTGCAACCAGAGGCAGTCTGGAGGAAGGCCCTACTTCCGATTTCAGTTCTCCATATTAACTACTCCTGTAAAAGCCACAGAGTGACGTGCCCTGGGCCCTCCGACTCTCCTGGGGAAGACCGACTGAGGTGACTCCTGCTTCCACAGTGTTGACCTGGAGGGGAGCTTTGAGGGGCTGGCATGGCCTTCTTATTTCACAGGTAATACGAATGAGGCCCTGTCCAAGGGGTCAATGTACAGGAAACTTGAAGCAGCACCGTCCGCCTCACTCCTGGAGCTTCCCCAGGCCACCGTGGCCTCTAGTGGTCAGGGGGAGGCAATGTTACTCCACCATTCTGGGTCTTCCTGAACATGACTTGTGGTTCCTCCTGGACCCTTCCTGATGCAGGGCCTGGGCCTGGCCCAGAGGATCCCAGGTGGGGCACGCTCACCTGTCCGGGCTCGCACCAGCACATCCACACCGTAGAGGACATCGGCCAAGTAGTCCAGGACCAGCCACAGCACCAGGTGCTCAGACTGCAGCTCGTCGAAACAGGCCCTAAACAGCATGACAAGAAGCAGGTGTGGGGGGCAGGGTGCCCATTTGGGCACCAGCTCAGCGCTGCAAACACTGGGCTGGCTGGTCCAGTAACAGCCTTGCCTGCAGGGTTTGTGCCCCAGCATTAGCACCCCAGGCTCTGAGGAGCTTTCCTGTCCCAAGGTCGCATAGCTCAGAAGAGTTGGGACTGACCCCAATGAGTGGGCCTTGGTGCTTCTGAGAAGGAAGTTCTGAGACCCTTTGGGGTGAGGGGGCAGTCTCTCTCGGCTTCCCTGGTGATGTCAGGTGCACGGGCTGAGGACTTGCCCTTTTTGGAGGCAAAAATATGAGAATTTCTGGGAGATTAACAACTGAACAAGCCAGTAGACATTTTTTACTTTCTAGGCCTCTATGTTCACTATTTCTCATACAGACAATGCCTGCAAAATATTCCTCTGGCCCCCAAGAGCAGCAGCTCACCTCTGTATTCCCAGGCATGCTAGAAAAGGCCTTGAGTTCTCCCATTCTTTGCCCCCACTCTTACCTTCAGAGGAGTAAGAGCCTGCCCCTTGCTCAAATAATCCTAAAGGCCCTGCTCACACCCCAAGAGCCGTGGGTCTCGGCATCCCTGCCAGGCAGCACCATTACATGGCTCCCACACCCACTGGGACAGCAGGACTCACTCCTTCAGTCTTGCCTTGCAGGCTGGCTCAGGAAAGCCCGAAGCCCCTCCTTGCCCTGGCAGAGAGTAGCATCTCTCCCCTACATCCTCATCCTACAACGCACCTAGGAAAGTCCCAATGCCTTGTGCCCAACCCCCCCCCCAAAATAGTTCTACCTGCCTTGCAGCCTTGCTGAGGAAAGGTGTAAAGTTCCCCTGCCACCTTCCCTGTTGCCCTCTGTCTGCCCTCAGGGGAGGAGCAGCTCACCCTGCATCCTTGTCCTGCAGGCCTGCCAGGAAGAGCCCCCATGCCCTTGCTAACTCTCAAAGAGCAGCCATTCACCCTTTATCATGTCCTGAAGTTTGGTTAGAAAAGCCCAAGCCCTCCTGCATACACAGAAGAGCAACAGCTCTGTCCCTGAATTCCTGCTAAGGAAACTTCCAAAGCCCCTACCTTTCAGAAGAGTAGCTGCATCTGCTCATCCCCTCCAGGTCCCCTCACACCAACTCCAAGAGCCCCTTCACCCTTGCATTCTTGTCTCTGGACATGAACAAGAATGCCCCAAAGCCACAGATCACTCTCAGGAATGGAGCCTCTCGTCCCTGAAACCATGCCCTGTACCTTGCTCAGAAATGCCTGCTGACCCCTGCCTTTGCCATTGGAGGGGAAACGAACCATCCTGACATTCCTCTCCTGCAGACTTTTTCTTTACCCCCAGAGAGCTGTGGCCTGCCCACCTTTCTGTCCTGCAGCTTAACAAGGAAAGTTCCTGAGCCTCTGCTTATCCCCAGAAGAGCAACAGCTTGCCCTTGCATCCCAGAAGTACACACTTGCATAGGAACTTGCACCCTGTCCTGCAGGCCTGCTCAGGAGCACCCCAAAGGCTTTGGATGCCTTCATGAGAGCACCAGCTTGCCCTGCACACTCTCACAAAGAGCCCAGCCCACAGCTTGCAATCACAGAATAGCGCCCCTGACCTGCACCCTGTCCCACAAACTGCTCAGGAATGCCCCCCTCCCTGCCTGCTTCGTCTTCCTCCTGCAACTCCATTAATTAAGTCTCCAAGGTGCCAGGGTCCTGGCTGCGAGTCCTGAGCACGGGTCCCACCAGTGCTTCAGAGCACCCTGATGGTGCTCTTCCAGAACCAGCTTACAGATGGAGAAACTGAGGTATAAGCAGCTAGATTGTGGCTGAGAGGAGCCCAGGAGCCTGCAGGCTCTGGAGTGAGACTCAGAGTTCTGCCTTAATGCTTAGCTGCCCTCCCTGTCCCTTACCCTCCCTGGGTGGAGGCCCACCCCTACCTGCACACCAGCAGACACCAGTTGTAGAAGACAGTCAGGGCAATGACGGTCAGCCAGCGGTAGTACACACTGCTAGAGGGGTCCACCACGATGGTGTCCTTCTTTCTGGAAACACAGACACCCACCAGTGTGCTGAAAGGCCACAGCTTGGAAGGTCTTAAAATCCTGGCCTAGCTTAGGAACCCTAGGGCCATGGCAGGTGGAAGCTCGAGAGAGGGCTGTCCCAGACAGTGTCGGCCTCAAGGGTCACATGGGTGTCCCCGCATGGGAAGACAGGCTGGGAGGCAGAGCAGACTCTGGAAGTCCCTCCATCCCAGCTCTGCTCCCCGGGAAGCCAAGCTGACTGTAACATCATGGTGGTGACATCTGTGCCCTCAGGATGCTGGGAATCAAGAGGCAGCATGATGATGTCACCGAGGGCTATGGATGGAGCCTCAGAACCACTTGGGGAGCTTTGTGAAATGCAGTTCCCTGGGGTCCACCCAAACCCCCTCCAGGGCTGCAGCCCGCCAACATGCATCCACACATCGCTGGATGGTTCTGAGGCAGCTCCTCTCTGGACAGCACTTGGGAGCCCAGGGCTCTCCCCGGGGAACACCTCCCACCTTGCTCGTGCCATCTGCACAGATGTTCTAAAGGCTCATTTCCAAGCACCTGGATCCTGCCTCTCCATCAAACTACCGCCCTGCACACACCCAGGTGAGGTAGGCAACACCGAGAGGACAAATGGCTTAGGGTACTTTCTGTTTTCACTTTCCTGAGGATTAGATTTACAGGCAGTGCTAGCGATGCTTTTTCTCTGGGTCCATGGGCCCCCTCCACCAGCCCATATGACCCATGTGCTGTCCCAGCTCTACCCTGGGGGAGACCTGGGGGACTTCCTGCCCTCGCCTGGACTCAGCAAGTGCAAGATTACCTGCTCACTGATAGGATATGAATTGTCCTCCACACTTACCAGCACTGGGTTTGGACTAAGGTTTGTGACTATAGTACTTCCAAGTGCCAGAGAAGGCCTCAGCTTACCTGACTGTGTGGATGACACTTGTGTGGGCAAACAGAATGCACAGGTTCACAGGGACATCCCCTAGCTGCTCCCCAGAGGTTGCAGACCACCCTCTCTACCGGTAAGTCCACCTCAGAGTCCCGGAGCTGGGCCAGGACTCTCCCTGCAGGACGAGACCCTCACAGAACCTCGTGGGCCTGACCCTCGCCTGGGACCAGCTCTTCTCCTGCGGCCATCACCAGGCCCCTCTCCAGGGCTACCCTGAGGCCTGACAGCCCTGGGTCCCTGGGCAGGGTCAGGCTCCATGTGACCACTGAGCACCTCCTGGGAAGCATTTCTCTCAGTACTTACTCCTCTTGTTTTAGGCAGTTTTTCTTTCTCTCTTCTTCCTTTTTCTCTTTCTCCTCCTCTCTTGCCTTGTCACTGATGATACAGGGTGACATTAGCAATTTTCATAAACCAGAGATACTACCACACAGAGCAGATAAGCCGGACTGATGCGGAGGGGAAGGCCTGGGGTGAGGGGTGGGTGTTTCTAGCACGCTGGGGTGAAAGGAGTTGCTGATTTAATAATAATAGTAGTAACCATCATCATCCTCCTCCTCCTGCAGTGTGATAAACCAGCCAGTGAAGCTCACGGTGTGCACACTGAAGTGTGCGCAGTGGTTCAGCCTTGCAAGTGCTGCACAAGTGTTGGCCCATTTTCATGAGCCCTGAGGACATCACAAACAGCTAAGACTGGGGACATTTCCAGGTAATGGGAAGTGAACTCAAACCCACACTCTTAGTGTGCAAAAGTCACCGAGAGTCTTGGAAGTCACCTAATAAAGCACTTTGTTCTGAAGGGAAGGGTGTGGCCCATTGGTTGTTCTCAAAACCCGCCTCTGATCACAAATGAAAACCTGGCCTTGATGGGAAGGCTGGGGCAGGAAGGAAGCCAGCCCCCCACAAGTGAGAACACGTTCGCCACTGGTGGCTCATCTTAGAGTCGCCCAAGACTGTGGGTGGAAAGCCTTGGGCCCAAAGGTCCCATGAGTGCAGCTTCCTGCTTACACAGGGCTTCCCTCTGCTTCGTCTTCTTTATCAGCTGCCCTTGAAGGACTGGGCACCATCATAAAGGTTCTCTGTTAATAGTTACAAGAGTTCAGCAAGTCAAGCATTGCCACCCATTGAGCAGATGAGGAAAAAAGGAAGAAGGGAAGTGACCTGGCCTGCCTCAGGGGTCCCCGCCAGAATCGTGGGGCCCTCTGACTCCCAATTCCACACCCTGGAGGAAGACACTGGATGAGAAATAAATGTTGGCTCATTAAACACTCGTTGAAGAAGATCAATGCAGCTTGCATAGTATTTCCTAAGGAAATAATCAAAGCTTTGTGCAAACAAACATACAAAAGAATAGGCACTACCATTATTTATAATAGTCGAACAGCATAAGCAATCCAATCACACAACGGTAGGAGACTCATCATCAACAGTGAACTCCAACAAAGCCTCTGCCAATGTCCTTGAAGAGTATTCAGTGGCTTGAGGAAGTGGGCCCGATGTCCAGGTCAGTTGCAAAGCAGACCACACAAGGGTTGATAATAGTAGCTGTATTTGTGCTGCTGGCAGAACAAATTGCCACAAACGTCATGGCTTTAAATGACCCAAAGTTATCTTACAAATCTGTGATTAGAAGTATGGTATGTGTCTCACCAGGCTAAAGTCAAGGTGTCACAGGGCTGTGACCTCTCTGAAGACTCCAGGGGAGAATCTGTTTCCTGCTCACTTGGACTGTTGGCAGAATTCAATTCCTTGAGCTTATAGAATCAATATTCACACTTTGTCCCTGGCTGTAAGCCAAAGACATTCCCAGCTTGCAGAGTGCTGCACCCTTGCTTTGTGGTACCCTTCTTCCATCTTCAAAGCCAGAAGCAGGCTGAGTTCTTTTTCAGATGCTATCTCTCTGGTTCTCTGCAGCTGGCAAAGGTTCTGTACTTTGAAGGATATGTGTGATTCGAGGAGCCCACCCTGATACTTTAGGATCAAGATCATCTGCTAAGTCTAGGTGCTTAAACCTAATCACATCTGCAAAGCTCCTTTTGCCATGTAAGGTGATATAGTCATATGAGTGGAGATTAGGACCCAGGCAACACTGGGAACGATTGTTCTACCTACCACTACTTTTATGGGATGGCTGTCACTCTCCAGGACAGACCCAGCCTTCAGGTATCCCTTCAGGTAACCATCAGAGTAATCCCATGGGGATCTCTCCAGAGCCTCGCCATAACGTGAGAACTCCTGCAGCTCAACAAGCTTCTCTCCTTTTGCAGTTCTGATGGCAACAGCAGAACCTCTGTGGCATTGCTTTCCAGACCAAAATTGGAAAGTTCATGAGTACAGGGTTTGCGACTTGCTACAGCAGATTTGAGATTGATCCAGCACCCACCCAGGAATTTCTGTGCCCCCATCGCCACCTGGTCTCCCCAGCAGTGGAACTCTGAGCATTCTTTTCATCGCCCACATCAGGGTGAGCCCTCAGTCAGTCTTCGCCCGTACCAACTTGTTGTTGTCTCCTGTCATGTGAGGCAGACACCAGACCTGTTTTCCTGGATACATTTTTAAATCTGGCCGCCACGTATTTTCTGTTCTGCATAGGCCACCATCTTGTCCTCAAACTTGTTTGTCAGATGTGAGGGTGAACAAGGTGATACCCCTCTCTATGACCATCATACTTTTCACCAGAGACTCGACATCGTTATGTGCAAATCAGTAGTTATTCTTCAATTTGCTGGCTGCTTTTAGAAGCTCAGAGTGAGCTTCACTGAATAAATCCTTGAAGAAATCCACCCCGGAAGCATCCTTTTCACTGATGAACTTCTCAAATTCTTCCTCATCCCTGAGAGGAGCGGAAGCTGGTCGTGCCTGCTCTTCAGGTGGTTGACAATTCCATCCGCAGTTCTGGGCCACCACGAGCACCTGCTTCTTCACCATCTCCAAATACCTTCAGGGCTGACTAACACACAGCTCACACAGCTGGTCCAGGCGGACCTGCAGCCTGAGGTCCTGACCCCTAAGCCCAGTTCTATCTGCAGCCTGAAATTATTCTGCTTAACATACTAGTCAATATTTATTGACCACTGACTACACATCAGACACTGTTCTAAGCAGTTTACATACTTTAAAATATTTAGTTTTCATACAAACTTGAAAGTAAGAGACTATTTTACAAGTCAGGTAGTTGATGCACAGAGAGCTCAGGTAATACAACCATAATGACAAAAACCTGAGGTGGCCAGGTTGGGATACAAATGCTCTCAATCAGTATGTGTATTAAATACAGTCTATCTATCCATCCAATTTTCATACCTAGGAAAAACTGGGAAGTATCTTTGTCTGCATGTTAAGAAGGGTTTTCTCTGATGATGAGATTCCACTGTTAACATGAAGTATAATTTTCTGTAGGCATATGCTCATGTTTGCTTTTCTGTGTTTTGCAAGTTTTGACAATGCACATATAAATACACTGGATAAGAATAAAATTTATTTAACTTAAGTGAGAAGAGCAAGCCTTAATATCAAAACAACAGCAGAGGGCGCTGCCCACACACTTATTGGGCATGCTAAGCCTTGCTGGGAGTTTTAATTGCACCAGGTACAGGTTTCCTTGTCCAGAATTTTGCCCACTCTCCCACCCCGAATACAGGCTTTGGCCTTTCTTCTGGCTACCAACCTGCTGAGGGCCTAGGAAAGACCCTGTATCATCCAGCTGCATTTCCAAATCCACCCGGCACTGACCCAAAATACCTACATACACGTAGCTTCAAAAACAATACTGGTTTTGGCTGGAACACTTTGATCCGGGAGGGAGATTCAGGACTCATGGGACTAAGGGGAAATGCCAGAAGTGAGGTGGAAAAATGGGGATGCGTGTCCATCAGAGTTATTTCTGCACCTCTGTGTCTAGGTGGCCCTGTTTGGGACAGTCTCCAATTTTGTCCCCTGGACCTCCACTACAGTGTGGACCCACTGATATAATATGAGCCCACCTGAAAGGTTTATAGCAGCTCAATGCAGCCAACACCATCCACCCCCATCCTCACGCACAGGCCAGCGCCAGGACAAAGAAGCCTAGAGACCCCTAGGACCTCTGCCCACGGTTTCCAGTGCCCTGAACCTCTCCCTGACTGTGGGGCTCAAAACCTGGTTTCAAAGGTATTTGATATCAGGTTTGGCCCTAAACCAAGCACACATTGCAGTAGCTATTGTTTTGTAGCTGAAATCATTTCCTTTTTCTTGATCGCTGGCATTTGGGTCTCTGGATTTGATGTCCAAATTTATGCAAACAAAATGCAGCTAAGGTTCATGAAGGGTGATGGAAAAAAGTTCTACTGGAGGGAAAAAAGGAAATAGCAAAAAAAAGTCTTGGTGCATTTCTCATTCAATTGGAAGTCAAGAAATTGGCATTTCTTGCTGATCTTGATGGATTTTCCCTCAGTTTCAACTGAGATGCTCTCCTCTACCTATTCCCATGGTATTCCATGAACAAGGCAAGAGAATGGTGTGTACATGCTAACACACATGTATGATCACACATGCCCATTCCCTCCTTAGACTCTAGGGTGGCATTTGCCATGATCACACATCACACTGATCTGCTGTCTTGGTGTCTGATGACAGAAAGTAATTACGGTGGGTCACTGTTTCTAGAGGGTATGCCCTGGAAATATTTAAATTTCCTCTTCCTGCTGCCTTGATTCCATGTTCCAAATTGGCCCGAACTGACCTTCAGGACAGGAGCATTTCACTGGCACAGGGAGCCTGAGGTTCTGTGAAGGAGAATGCCTGATGCTTCACAAGGGAGCTCCAGTTTTTCACACTCAACTGTACAGCAATAGAGGGTGCTCAAGCTGAAAACATCAATCCCATCCAACCCTTCTTTATAGATAAGAAAACTGAGACAAAGACATAGAAAGACTTGCCCTAGGAAGTTATACAGACCAGGTCCCTCTCCCATTTGTCTGCAGGAATGGAAGCCCAATGAAAGGAACAGGATTCTGGGATGGTCTTGCAGTGTCTCGAAAGGGTGGGAAGCAGGGATGCTTAAGGAGTAAGGCAAAGGTGGGGCTTCTATGGGGAGGAGAGAAGGCGGAGGCTCTGCAGGGAGAAGAGTTACTCACTCCTTCTCTGAGTTGTTGCAGGCGCTGGCGTTGTTCCTGGCCAGGGGCCAGCCACTGCAGGAGGCCAAGAGAACGAAGTGTGGGAACATGGACTCAGCTCCAATTCAGGGGACCATTTTCCCCAAGTGGTTACTAGTACTCCCGCCTATCTGTCTCCTGGGCCTTCTTTCCACACAGCTTGAAGAACGAAGGGTATTAGGTACTAAAATGTTTTGTGACTAGTTCGCTCTGGTAAAAGCCACTTGGATAAATGGAGGCTTCTGACTAAATGGGGATCAACTGTGTGACTCCACCCAGCATCAGGCTCAGCATCTGGCTCAGATTTTACTCTATTTCACTCGGTTTAATGGTGGGGAAATGGCAGCAAGGGTACAGACATGGACCTAACGTGGCACCTGCCTCTGGGGTGTTCTCAGGTAAGGCAGGTCGAGTGCCTTGTGCTCCAGAATGGGAATGTCAGCAGCAGGGACAACCTGCTACCCTTGTTTGCACAGGCCCAGCTCTCAAAGGGCACCTCTGCTTGAAAATTCAGTCACAGCTGTCACTTTCAATTTGCAGGGCAAACATAGATGGTGGGCAGCACTGTCCTAGTTCTTAGTCTCTCCTCTCCCATCCCCTGCCCTCATATCAATCTTAAAACTTCTAGGCCTGTCACCCCTGATCTATGTGAGAACCTGGAAGGAGGAGAAGCTGGTCTTGCAGCCAACTAAACATTTATTTGAAGCTGAATTGCATAGTACTGTTCATGGTCAAAAGTACTATCTCCAAGTGGTCAACTGCCAGGGCACATTTTTGGCACTGCCGGTGTCAGGAGCTTGCCTTGCAGAGCCAGAGGGTGGCTTGCCTGTTTGTGGTCACTGCAGACACTCATAGGAGACCTAGACAGCAGAGCCAGTAGCCAGTAACACCCCAGCCTAACCCTCAGGTCCCCTCTGCTATGATATTGACCACCTAGCCAAATGCCATCTTGGGACCCCTTCTTACCCTGCCCAAGTCTCCCTCTCCTCAGCCAGGATTATGTGGGGATTGGTTCCAATCACCTGAAAAGCCAGGAAGCAAAACTTCCCTGTGAGACTGTGAAGGAGTGAAAGCTTAGCTGCACGGGGTGCAGTGGCCTGTGTTTATTGCACCTGCGTGCTGGTAATCCCACAGCCCAAACCCACTGAACTAAGGACACATCTCTGCATACATTCTGCTTTGCCAATGGGAATTTGCTTCAAAAACTCAAAGTCTTCCTCTCCCAGGAAGCCTTCTTAATTGATCAGCTACCATCCTGCACCATCAAATTCATCTACACACTCTGAACCTTCCTGAAAGTGACTGAGTATTTGTATATAGACAAGCTGGGCCCTGATGAAGTCCTACCTCAACCCTCCACTCATCTGGTCACAGTGGGAAATCGACAGAGCCTAATGTGCATCTGCATTAGTCTAAGGTTGTAGAGAAATTGATTTGATCGATTTAGCTAAAGAAGTCTTTGTCTCCCCAAAAAGAATTGAATGGGTCTGGTTGGCTTGCTAGCAAACCTCTTTCTTCTCTTTTTCCTTCTCTTGCTCCTCCTCCTTCCCCACCTTCTTTTTCCTTAGCCGCCAACCCCCCACCCCCATGCAACCCCCATCTTTCTGGCTTGGCAGTGAATAGTGCTCAGGCCTTGCAGTCAGGGAGGGCCTGAATGGTCGGGAGTGCCTGGCCCTAGCAACTTGGAACAGCCCTGCACAGGTCCTAGCCAGCACCCAGGCCCTCCATGGTCTCCTTCCCAGGGAGGTCAAAAGTTTTCAGTCCAAGCTCATGTGAAAACAGGAGCCCAAGGATATTGCTCCAGGGGGCCTTTGTATGCGAGTCAGCAACTCTCACAACTCTCCCCAGCAAGAAGACTGAATGCAGGTCTCCTAAAGTGATCACTAGCAAGAAATTGCCTTGAACTCTCGTATCTCATCTTAGATATGCATGTGCATTTTGCCATCTACTGCATGTCCAGAAGTTAAGTGGAAGCTCCAGGAAGAGCCATCCTGTGTCCCCTGAGGCTTCATGACTTTTACCCCCAGGGGCCCTCCTGTGCTCATGTCAGATGCCCACAGCTGAGCACTTGCCATCTGACACAAAGACACACAGAACTTCTCCAGAAGGTACATAGAGACTCTGTTCTGCAGCAACCTGGCTTATTTTCACCTTTGCATTTTTTTCTTTTCTTTTTCTTTTTAGAGAGAGAAATAAAGGGAGAGAGAGATTGATATGAGAGAAAAACACCAAAACACCAATTGGATGCCCCCCACTCCTGTATTAGCCCTGACCAGGATCCAAACCTGTGAGCCCTCACTTTGAGGGACAACACCCAATGAACTGAGCCACATCGGTCAGGGCTTGAAATTTGCACCTTATAAATCGTGGCATTACTTAGAAATTTAAGCCAAAAGAGCTTTTCAAGCCCTTCTTTTCAGAAAGCAGGTTCTGAGCAGGAGCCCACCTGTTCATGATGCAGAGGGAAGCTTCTCCTCACACCTGTCCTGCCCTCCCTCCAACTGCCTCTCAGGTCCTGGAGACCCCTGCTGCTCAGTGACTGTTGATTCAGCTAGTGGTGTCCAGTGGTCTCCCCACAAACCATGGCCGGGGAGATTTCTCAAGAACGAGAGAAGAGAGCGGCAGCAGCTATGTGGGATGCTGGGGGGTGGGGCGGGAGTGTCAGTCCAGCACCTGCATTCTCTACGTGTCTGCCCGTGGCACTGGCCACAAGCTCCCCACGGGGCAGTGGGTAGGGCAAGAATATGTGCAGGACCCTTGTTCTGCAGACTCTTCTCCTATCAAAAAACAAATACTTCTCCGCCCTAGCCTTTCCTTGTGTCCTTCCCCATGGTTTTTAACCTGATCTGGAATGTGAGTGGTTCCCCTTAAAAATTCTCACCAACATTTAACCATATTCCCAGAAAAATGCACGTATACCTATGCATAAAACTGGGTACCATTCAGGTCTTCCCGGAGGCTCATGGTATCAAGATGGGCTTATACCAAGGTGGGTTACAGTGCAGTCTAGGAGGAGGGTCCTTTGGTGGACAGAGGTGGGTGAGGCAATCACCCCCATGTGTGTTTCTGACATCACCAGTTATAGGGGACACTAGCTGAGCTCTGAATAGGATGAGGTTGAGTTTCACATGAGGCTGGGGACTCTGGTTAAAGGGTTTCTCTCCTGCAGGACTTCTTGCACTTGGGCAGTGACAGCTAGAGCACTTGGTTCTCTCCCAAGACAGAAAGAAGCCTTCTTCAAGGAGAAGCTCACAGCTGAACTAGTGAGCGATGCCTCCTGCTGCCTGTCTGGTCTGGGTGGTTCATCCTCTTTTTGGTTCCTTACCTGCTCTCTCTGACCGGCGACTCCTGGCCACTCACATTGGCCTGGGCGTTGCTTTCTCGGCTGGACACCTCCTTGAGCTCAGCGCCATGGAAACGCTCCAGGAAGGAGTCAGGTCTCTGGTCCTGGTGCTGTAAGTGCCTGGAAGCCCACGTACGCAGTGAGGTGATGAGGCGCCACAGCCTGGAAGGGCACAGATGGGCCACCAGTCCACAGCGTTGGAAGAGGAAAGTTCTGTCTCTTTCTAGGTCCCAGGCTCAGGCTGCACTTCATTCTGCTGGGGCCTTTTATTCCTGTCTCCTCTGACACTTGCCCCCAGAACACAGCTTCCTCCATAGGGGGTGTTATCCTCACAATGGCTTTGTCTCCCTATCGCCTCGACTCCACAAAGGCATGAACCTTCAAATGGACGTGAGCAAGCTTTTCTGTTCACTGTTCCTTTTGCCCCTTGTGAAACTCTCTGTTATGACTGATAAGCATAGTAAAAAATACCATTTTCCAATGGGGAAAAATTAGAGCAAGGTTTAAGGAAACAACCCCTCAGATACAATTTTCAAAAAATCCTTACCTACAGAGAAATATCGATGTGAGCAGGAAACATCCATTGGTTGCCTTCCTTATGCATCCCTGACTAGGGATCAAACATGCAACCTTCTGCTATACAGGATGAGGGTGATGCTCCCACCAACTGAGCGGCATGGCCAGGGCATCCTCGGACACAATACAGAGTCTTCCCCCAACCCTTGTCCTATGGCTTCCGATACAAACTCTCATTCTCTCACCAGCTCATACATACGTTCCATTGCACCTACCCTTGACCATTCTCCTGGAGCTAGACCCCACCAGGGCCTCAGGCCCTGAGACCACTAGTCCATGTCCACAGTGTTAGTCTTGGCTCCAGCTTCCCTGAGCCCAGCCTCCTGCCGTCCCTGTGTCTGCCAGAGGGAATGGGAGGAGAGGCTCAGTTCTTTATCTCAGTGTCTGGTTTCCCTGACTTGGCACCAACAGTGTACACCATAGTCCCCAATAAAAATAGTTCTGAGCAACCTGGAATAAAGTAACGAATTGTCACACACAGTGATCCTAATTGCACTCTTGTGACCATAGCCTAAGGGAATAAATTGAAGCAAGAAAACATCCTAGGAACAGATGCTTCCAGCTGCTGCTGTGGACGTCTGTCAAGCTGCCTCTCAGCCCAACTTCTCTGCTCTGGATGCTCCCCACTTCCACAACTTCCCTCTGCCAAGGAAGTGAAACCAAGTCTGTACCACCCCTTCAGCCTCAGCCAAAGGGCTCAGAGATGAACAGCTGAACAGCAGAATCACTCATGCTACTGACCTAAGAGCCACTCCAACATGGGGCTGAATGTTTCAACTCAAGATCACACGGCGAAGGCCATTTTCAGCCTGTGCCTGCTGATGTGTGAGCAGAGAGATAAACAAAGGAGACAGGCAGAAAAAAAGCACCAAGACCTACAAGTCCAGGAGAAAATGAAAGGAAGAAGATAGTGCCTCCCCAGCTCCCCTATGAGCCCCAGCGGCCCCATTTCTATGCGGCAGCCTGTGTCTTACCTTCCACTGGCACCCTGCCCCAGCCCTGTCCCAGGTCTTATAATTTGAGCTAGTTTGAAGTCATTCTCTTCCTTGCATTCAATGAGCCTTGAGACCGCACTTCATTAGTAAGACAAAAACACTACAACTCACTTAAATGTCTAATTATAATGGAGTAGTGAAATAAATAATGGTAGCAACCTTCACAATAAAAAATGTGAAGAATAAGTAAATTAAAAAATTTGCAATTATCTTAGGCAAAAACTGTAGAACACATGATTATCGAAAATAACTATGGCATTGTTAAAAATATTGGTGGATGGAAACAATGAGCCCAGATTTGTGGACCCCTGTTGTGAGTCAGTGTCTGGCTTTGATGCAGCCCCTGTAGCCACCGGGGCCAGCGTGGGTAGATTTATTTCTAGACAAGACTTGAAAAGGTGCGATGATTCCCCTCAGGTGGTATAGCTACTGAAGCCGAAGTGCAGATGGCACCGGAAAGCAGACAGAGCCAGGTTAACCTTTCAAATGCCTTCACAGGGATGCACGCTGTCTGGTGAGGATCCACCAGGGGCTGCTTCAGAAGTAGCAGTGTTGTGGTCTGCCTGCTGCATGGTCTACCCACAGGTTTCCCATGGCTGGGTGGACTTTTTTTCCTGAATTTCTTTCTGAACCTTCCCTGGTTGGCTTTTCTCTTAATTCTTCCAGAATTGAGCAAATCCCTCAATATCACTCTTACTAAAGCAATTTCAGATAAAGGCAGTTTTTATTAGACTTTTCTGAGCTCAGAACACCTGACCCAAGAATTACTCACTGATGGATTTCTAACCGCTCTGCTCCTGCCTCTTTTTTCTCTAAATCTTCAACCCACCCCCACTGCCACTTCTTTCTGAGATGCATCTACTTCCTTTCTGCCTCAATTTCCCCTTCCCAAGGTGAAGGTTGAGACCCATCAGTTACCTGGCAGGATCCTGGCCCGTGAAGGAGCCTTGCCTGGATTCAGATCGTCCTCTGGTCTCCATGTCCATCCCTTGCTGCAGTCCTGACGATGTCTCCTCGCATGGCAAGTGGGTCCTAGGAAATCAAATATGCGGCAGGCTAAATTGATTTCAAGCTCATCCACCTCCTGGACACACTCAGGAATGAGATGGCCAGATGCTGTGCTTAATGAGGACAGCTGCCATCACAGGGCCTCAAGCCAGGGGCCCTCCACTTCGGGTCATGCTGCTGCAGGCCCTGGCTCTTAGGATAAATGTAGCCTTTCCTTTGCAGCAAGCCTGACCAAGGAAAGTAGCTCAATACCAGCTGCTTGCTGCCATGGGCTCAGTGTAAAGGCCAAGCCAGCGGCAACTGGTCCTCATCAGAGCACTGGGAGGGGAAGGTCCCAGTGCCGCCATCTCAAGCCACAGCAGCTATTTCCACACTGTGATTCCAGAAGGAGGACTTTGGTTCAAACTCATTTCTGCCAAACGAAACCCTATCTTCTAAGGCAAGATCAAGTGCTACCACCTTGAGGAGTGTAATTCCTTAGAGTGTATAGAATTGCCTAGAATAAGACCAGTGTGTCTGGGAATATTTTTCTTTTTCCTCTTTTCTTGTAAAATGGGGCCGAGGTTTGAGCAGCCTGATTAAAAGCTATCCACGTGCTGGCCCTTGGGGATTTACGCTTCATTCTGTGAGTCTTGAAGAGCCCCGGCAAGACAAGTTAATTCCATCTCATGACCTGTTCCAACCCAATCAGCCTCCTTAGCATGGTGGTAAAGGCTGAAGGAGGAATTGATGTCAGAGGACAAGGCCTCATTTCTCCCCAGTGAATGATTAGAAGTTAGAATCCTATACCCGTGTCCCGCTGGGGCCATCTCTGCACAACCTTTACTGCTAGCAGGTTTTCCCCTCCCTCGGCTTCCACACATCAAGGCTGCTTTCTTCTGCTGGAAACACACAGAGTCAGGCACCTCCATCTTCTCCATGGCCACCTTCCACGATGAGACAGCTCTCATGCCTGTGCTGCTTTTCCAGCCTGAAACCCTCAGCTCATGCAGCCATTCCTCACCAGGTTCGAGTCTCTTCCTGTCACTGTCATTCCTCTGGGAGCAGGTTCCTGCATTTCCACCAGACTTAGCAGGGAGACAGAGACCACCCTGCTGTTACTGGACCCCAAGCCAGAGGTCTTTAGATGTTTGTGGGTTCATGTGCTTTTGGTGCCCTCATCAACAGATACTATCAGCAGAAACCCAAAGTCCTCTAACATGGCTGCTGCTAAGCCAGCAGGTCCTGTTTTATGTGTGTACAATTTATTTATTGGAAATAAGTATTAGGCCTTCCATTTATCTGGGTCTTTCCTCACAACTCTAACTCATTCACAAATACAATACACAAACTGTATGCCATTTATTTACCGCTTACTGTATGCCAGCCACATACAGTTTACCATTTAATCCACACGATAACCATATAATAGAGGAAAACAAGGTTCAGAGGTTAAGTAACTTTTCCAAGGGCAGACAGTCAAGAGGCAAAGCTGAGATTTGAGTGCCATTCCATCCCATTTCAAAGTCTGCTTGTATCCATGCCATGAAATTGACCTCTGTGTATATGGTGCCATTTAAAGCAAGAATTAGATAGGACATGGCTGAACCCTGTTCGAGTGGGTTCACTGAACCCTGTGGCATACGACTAGAGACTCTGATCCACCCAGTTAGCTGCACTGTGTGGGCATGGCTCTTTATTTCTAAATGGCTTAATTGAATTCTACCTTTATACCCATAAGAGACCACTAACATCTCATCCTTATATGCATAGAAGACCCTGTTAGGCCCTGCCATAGTTAGGAAGCTACACTTCTGTTGCCCTTCTAGTAGTTCGTGTATTACAAAGGAGGAATGCACATTCCAAGGCACTGATGTCAGTTACAAGAGGAGGAGACAGCCTTTGGATCCTCAAAGCTGGCCTGTGTGGTTGGGGAAGGGGGCAGCACATGGATGGAGACCTTGGTCATGGCATGAGCACCTGGAATATCTGGAGGCAACCCCAAGGATGGACATGTTTTGTCCTTACCAGCAGGTCCTCAGGGAGCTGTTGGCACCAAGCAGTCAGCCCAGCATTTCTGCTGAGTCTGGTTTCTGTTAATTACAAGGAGGGTGGCATATCCTGAAACCAGACTTAGTTGTATTAGCAGCAAAGGGTCAATATCCATGACGTCAGAACCTGTGGTCTAGTGAGGAGGGCAGAACCCACCCCAATTTCAAAACAGGCCTGCTGCTGGCCTCAGTGAGAGCGATTGTGTGTGGACAGGACCTTTGGCACTCACTTGGAAGAGAGATGGCAGAGTGAGAGGCCTGAGACCAATCCCTACCCCAGCTTAGCCAGGTGTACTGTGGCCTGTCCACTCACACTTCCCAAGTTTGCTTCTTGTCCTTCAAAGGGGAAAGAAAGGGGCAAATGGGATTTCATGCTGATTTAAGAGTTGTTCACAGACCCAAGTCCAGAAGGCATGCTTAGCCGTGAAGAATGGGGCTATTAGTGTAGTAAGCTAGTTACGATTAACAGAAGAGAACTGGCTGAGCCTGCAGTTAGGAAACTGCAGTTTCACAGACACTCCAGGGAATGGTTCAATCACCCAGGGAAGACAGGCTTTCCAATCACCCCAGGGAACAACCCCCCATTTCCCCCAGATTAGTGGAGGAAAGAGGAATGGTGAGGGGGAAATTCCTGTATGGAAGCATGCACAGTAGGAGCCAAAATGGTGACCATAGAGGGGTGGAGGCAAAACTGGGAAAATCTGGGGAAAGGATCAGAAAGGATAAGAATGCAAACCTGGGAAAAGCCAGAAAAGAGATTGGATAGTTTGAAAGAAAGCTTACCCTTCCCCAAACTCAAGGAAGTCAAAGGAAGCTTAAGGAAGGCCCCAGTCTCTTTTTAGCAGCCCCATGGGACAGAGCGCAGGGGCAACCTGGACAGATGCCACTGAATCTTGGTGGTGGATGTGCAGATGGGAAATAAGACACAGGAAAGTTTAGTAACTTGCCCAAAGTCAGCCATGGGTACTGGGGTGATGCAGCTCTGGGCCCTGTTGATCCTCCAGGGCCTGGCGGGCCTGCTGCCCCTGAAGCTAGACTTTGCCCACAGCAAGACAGAGCTGAGCCACCTGGTCATAGATGAGAGACATGGGTGGTGAACCTGGGGGCAGTGGACTCAATGTACCAGCTGAGCACCAGGGAGGTACCTCATGGAGTGTGGCAGCCTTTTCAAGGGAGCTGTAGTAAATCTTGTACTGTTTCTTAAAGTCCCCCTACACATGTGTCCCTAAAATTCCTGTGACAGCATGGGAGAATCTATTTCCAGACTGTTCTTCCTTTGGGAACATGGGAAGCCTAATATGATCTAAGTTCATGGGACTCAAAGGAGCCTTTCCTCCTGATGCATCTCTGCACTTGGTTCTTGATGCTTGAATTTCTACTGTGATATCTTTCTTTGAGGCCAGAGTTGCTATCTTCTTAAATTCCTGGTGTATTTAAACAGTAAACCCAATTACTTACTCCTTTGAGGTGGGAGGTGGAAGGGAAGATGGGAAGAAAGGAGAGGAACCAAATGTCTGAGGTGACATTTATAGTCCTCAGGGATGCACAGGTACTGAGAAAACAGAGACACTTTGGCAATCAATGCAAAAACAGGACCTAGTACCTCCTAGGGAAATTTAGAGGCAAGACGGACTGGGAACTGGACCCTGGTCTGCCCAGAGTTGGCTGCTGGACCTGAGGCAAGGACATGATGGGCCTCGGTCTCTGCAAAATGGGCAGATCTGGCCAGGACAGCCCTGAAGCTGCCTGCCTTCCCACTCACAGACCCCAGCTCTAGGTGTTGATGGTGTTCTTGTAGGAAAAGCCCATGAACTTGGTAATTAGCAATAATAGCAAGGAGTGCAACACAATGAGGTAACTCTTTTTGAAAGACAAGGTACTTTCCAACATACAGTGCTCACCTTCTATGTTTTTTTATAGAGAGGAAGTGATGTCTATGATGTACATGTGTCCTCTGTCATTGGGAGAGGACAGAGATCTCATCAGAAATGGAAGTGGTAATTAATTAACTCTGCCCTCTGTGGAGCATCTGGTGTCTTCCTCCAGTGACTTTGGGGACATGAGAATAAACAGAAGTGACCTTTTAGAACAAGAGTGAAGAGTATGATAGTACATTATATTTCTTTTCTTCATTCCAAGTCTCGGGAACTTGAGTGACCAGCATGCCCTGCCATTGGCCACCTGTGCCCAGGGAACTGAAGCCACTGTATTCTTGCCTTCTGTTCCGGTCAAGCAGCTGAAAATGGTTTTCTTCAGTGGTAATTCCTTGGGATTCAGCTCAGGGATCAACATGGAGAAAGTGTCTTTTCTGTAGGACACAGATCCCTTAGCCCCAAAGCTCACCTAAAATAGCTACCCCAGGACACTGGGCTGGGACCTGGCGTGCCCTTGGTCCCAGTCACAATTTTCTGCCTTAGATTCTGGAGTCTTTCCCTATGGTGTCATCTTCAAAAATATACCAGGAAGCTCTTAAATAATCATCAACCAAACAGATTTAAATAGAAAATAAAAATTCCAAACTTGTAATTTTGGTATTTCCAGGGAGTAAACTTAACTTTTTTGTTAAATGAAATGTTTTCATTCTTCTTTATGACTGTTCACTAGGAAAATGACCCCAATGATTTAGAAAGAGAAATAGAAACCTGGATCTCCAATTTGGTAAAACAAAACACCACAAAAACAAAAACCATGGGCGCAGAGCTCTCTCAGGAGAGAGGGCCACCATGTCTCTACCTCCTTGGGGCCTCAGCAAAGGGCCGGGACACACAGGCTCCCGGCACAGCTGCTGGGTGTCGCTGAGGACAAAGAGGACACACGTTTACAATTATTTCTCCCAAAACTTTTTTAAAAGATTTGAAGTTTAAGGTGAAGATATGTGGTTTGTTCAACCACTATTTCCTCCCCTAAAATAGTGACTTGAAACTTTAAATGTTTTCTTGTATGTGCCAGAGTCCTGTGTTCAAACAAATCTTACTGGGAAAATTAGTCTGTGACTAGACTTGCTGGGTTGTGCTGGGAAGCAGGGGAGGGGCCTGGACCCCACTGCGCCACTCTCAGCCTGAATATGGTTCTCGATCCTTGGTGATGCCATGGGGCCCATTCTGGAAATTTCCATCTGTTTATCCACTCCTGCTTTCACGAGATAAAGCAAAGCACTTCTCTCATAAAAGAAACACACACACACACTCTCTCTCTCAACTCTATGCAGTGTTTTCATGGGATTCAGTATTAATTTGCCAACAAGATTTTCCCAAATGAGCGGTTGGGCAAGGCCACAGGTAAAGCTCAGAGAGACTTAGCTAGTGGTCAGCCTGAGAAAGCATGACTGGGATACAGTCTGAAAAGGGCCATTTCCAGATGTGGGAACAGCTGGGCTCTCTGAGGAGAAGGTGTCCAGCCTAGCACACAGAGAGGGCCGTGGAGGCCCAAGTTAGGGGGACTCATTTCCAAGACTGACAGAGAGTGTTCAGGGAGCACTTACTGCAGACAAGGACTAAGCCAAGAGCTCTAACCTGTTTGAACCCCACTGCAGGCCTCTGAGGTAAGTGCTAGTACATCATGCAGATGAGGAAACTGAAACTCGGAGCAGTTAAGCATCTTTTCAAAGCTGGTCAGTTATGGAGCCATTGTTCAGGTTTGCTGCTGTTAGCCATCATGATGGCCAGGGAATGGGGGATAGGGGGGACCCCGGGAGGTAGCAAATAGCATTGTCATTGATTCAGAGCCCTGAACTGTGTGGATGAGTGACCCCCCGAGAGAATTTGAACTGACATGAGCCCACAGTGAGTCTCTTGGAAGCCAGAGGTCCATCACTAGGTGTCAGTGTGGCTTAATAAGCTAGCAATTCCTTTTGCAAAGGCTCATCTTCCAGGGACTTTTATGAGCCCTCTTGAATGTCAGGGCTTGCAAGCCACTGGCCCAGGAAGAGCCAGGACAAATCAGGCAGAGCTGGACCACTGTGGTGTCTGGTCAAGCAGTCATTCTGGGCAACAGCCCCAGCATCACTGAGCCTTCCTTCTCTTGAGTATCTCACTAGAAGGAGCCAGATTGAGACTCTGCTGCTCTTTTCAGCCCCAGGGAGTCTGCAAGCTCCAAGAAATGCTCTGGTTATGTCCCACTGGAGGCAAAAGGGAGCAGTGGGGGAAAGTTCCATTTTGCTTTAAATTCTCCCTGATCCTGAGAGCCCAAGATCCTGGAAGCCAGATGCTGCCCAGGGAGTCTAAATTTATTGTTGTGCCCTGCAAGGATAAAGTCAGTCCCATTTTCTATTGTGGCAGCATTAGCTGAGCAGGTCTGTGACCTTGTTAACATGACTGCCATTTTTCTCTTCTGAGCTTTAGTGCCCAGGACTGGAAATTGCTGCAAAGCAAGAACAGACGTAACTAACTGCTCCCTATAGCCACAGGTGGAAGATAACATGGGAACAAACTGCAGCCTCAGTTACAACACTCCAGCAGCCCAGGGGCCACACAACAGCAACTCCACCCTTTTAAAATCTAATTATAATCCAATAAAATCTCAAGGCCCTCACCCTTCAGTGCTGGTGTGTCTCTCCACACCATGTCCCACAACTTTCTTGGAGAGTGACTAAAAACTTCATTCTCTACACTTTCTTCTCTTTGTGAATTCTTTCACAGCCCGTGTCACCCACCACCCTAACATGTCCCATGCTTGGGCCTCCACTCCCCGTGCCCAAACTCCTTTGAAGCCCACCTTTGAGGGATTTTATTAGCTCAGATATGGGAAGGACACTATTAATGCACATCAAAGTATTAATAGCAGATTAGTGTCCTAAAAATGTTCTGTTTTCCTGTAAGTAAGGGGCAATGCCTTAACCTAAAGAAGTAAGTCCCCAGTGGTGGGACACAGATAATGACAGCAGGCGATGCAGGAGAAGCAATGTGAGGAAGGTGGGGGTTTCTGACGGCCCTGAATCACATCAAATTCCCCGAGGCTCCAGCACCCCGTTGAAAAGGATGGAGGGAATAAATCTTTGTTGGGATGCTTGGAGATTTTCCTCCTTTTGCCTGAATCTCAAAAGGTGGGGGCTAAGAGCTACATAAAATTTTTTCAAAGATTTTATTCATTTATTTTTAGAGTGAGAGGAAGGGATGGACACATGGATTGGCCGACCGCCTCCAGCATGTGCCCCAAGGGAGGAATGAACCTGCAACCCAGGCACATGCCCCAATCAGGAATCAAAACAGTGACCCTTCACTCTGAGCCACACTGGGCAGGGTTGTATAAATTTTCAATAACAGGGACTCGATCTCTCTAGAAATTGTTGTCCAGGGTTTTTTAAGGAGCTGGAACCAAGAACCCAGACCAAGAAGAGGCAAAGATGCATCTGAGTGAGAAGAAAAGATGGATGAGGGCCCCCTGGCATTGGGAACTGAAGGACTGTCATTGCATTGCTTTGGCCATCAGATAATATGCAGTTATCATGGGAGGGAGAGATTTTAAGTGTTATATATGTAAGACAAAAATAACACACCTATTGGAAATAAAGTTTCTCATGGTTCCACTTAATCAAATCATTTGGAAGTTAAGAAATGTAAAAAGGTAAGTCCACTTACACCAAATAGGCACTCTCCCATTTCTTCACTAGTATGTCAGGAACTTGGAAAAGAATGCTGCTTCATTTTGCAGTTGAAGACACTGAGGCTTGGAAAGGTTAAGGTGAATTTTCCCAAGTCTTCTAGTAAGTTAGCAACCAGGCTAGAAGTAGAATTCAAGGCCACAGATTTTCCTTCAGCTGAGTGTGTTGGGATGTCATCGACAGGGTTAATGGCTTCACTGGCAGGGCATGGCCCACTCCCTACAGGCCCATGAGCACAGGGTAAATCCTGACCTTCCCCTGGAAGTGAGGGCAGGGCATCCCCAATGCCCAGGACAATGGCTGGTGCATATATAGAGTCCAGTGCATGTTTGCTGTACACCTGGGAAGGTGTGGCGGTTTGGAGAAATTTCTACAGTAGAGCTGAATCTGCCACATTTGAACCTTCATTTTGTTACTTTGTAGAAGTTACATAACTCTTGGACTCTTATTTCCCTACATCTCTAAAATAAGACGGAAAGCTACTTCAGTGTAGGTTGTGGGGATTCAGTGAGATGAAAATGAAGTTAGGAGGCTCATTGTGAATATCCCCAGCCCACTGACCTGTGGTTGGTGACAGGCAAAGGCATTTCTTACCCCACAGTATAGATCAGCTATGGGAATAACCTTTTCCAGGAATAAAATTTAAAAATCCATCTTACCTGCTGAGGCCATTTTCAAGGTGATCAAGATCTCTGTCTGTGGTCCTTACCACAGGATGGGGCAGGTTGGGGTGGGAGTATTGAGTATTAATCCTGGCCATAGTCTTGCTCTGTCACATTTAGCCCCAAGGTGGTTGCTGAAACAGGAACACACAGCAGATATGATCAAAACAGGAAGTAACTGCAGACTCAGCTCATCCTATGTGAGGGCTATTCCCCAGGCAAGCCCTCCTCCACTTTCTCTCACATTTCCTGCCATGCTGTGCTTCAGTTGGGTATCTCTGGGCTCTAATACCCTATCTTAAGCATAAAAAAGTCTTTTATTCCTTCATACATGCTGCTGTGCCCAGGAGCTGCTCAAAGTTAAGTGCTGATCCAGAGAATGAATGGCCAAGTTGCCATCTGATGAAAGAAAGCTAAAATCCTCATTGTCTGGGATAATATGATACCCTTCTTGAGTGTGGTTTTCTCTTATAATTTTGCTCATGTTTTCTTAGCTACCCAAATCCTGTTTTAAAACAAACACGGAAAACTAATAATAGTTTTCTACTCATAAAATATCTGCAATGTGATGTTAAATCCAGTATACATTTCATTTAATCTTTACAATAATCTCATCTCATCAGATATTTATGATTTTTATCCCCATTTAAAAATGGCTACACTGAGACTCAGAGGTGTTAAGCAGGTTGCCAAATGAAGAAATAGATAAAACCTGTCAATGGCTTGACCCTGCTGCTAGAAATCAGACCATGAATACTATCCCATCAGCAAACATTGGAAGGTGCTCCTATGGTTGATGAGAAAAGAAAGCAGATGTGAGTGTAGGGCTGGTGTGAAGAACACAAAGACAAAGATTGGCCAGTTCTGTGATTTCTGATCAGACCCTTCCAGGGGAAAGATGAGTTCTAAAACAGACGGGCACTGGCTCTCTTGAGCAGCCATGTGGCTCCAGTGTGTCAGGTATCAAAAAGACCAGTCCAGTAGAAGGTAGTGATTTCTAGCAATAACCATGTGACACAATTTAAGACTACATTAATTCTGGACCCAAAGGAAGGTCAGTGCAAGGTGCCCGGAGCATGGCACCAAAGCAGCCATTATAAGTGTGGTCTCGGCTAACCAAGGTCAACGCACCATGAGTTACTCAGGGAATACATTGGCTCAGATGCTCATGGTTCATCACCGATGTCTGATAGTTTGTGATGTTAAATTTTATAATTTTCTCAATGTTTTGATTTTTCAAAATTTTATTCATCTATACAACAGTGAGTTTCTGGCTAATCACAGGACATATGAAGAAACAGAAGACAAAGACTGTTTTCAAGGATCTTACAGTCTAGTGGGGCAGATGGTGGATCCAAGGATCCTGCAAGTTGTGTCTAGAAGGGATACACTGGGGAGGCCAAATTCAGGGAACATGAGTGGATATGAGATGAGCAGCTAAATGCTGCAGTATTTCAAGGGAGAAAGAATAATTGTCTGAACTAGATTTGTGGTAGTGACTCAGAATAATTGAAAAATTACCAAATGGATAGAATCTCTGAGATATAGACTGAAATTTAAGGGATAAGACTATAAAATTCCTAGAAGAAAACATAGGTGTAAATCTTCACAACCTTGGGTTAGGTCATGGTTTCTTAAATATGACACCAAAAACTTAGTGACAAAAGAAAAAAGATTGGACTTCATAAAAAAAAACTTTGTGCATCAAATGACTCCATCAAGAAAGTAAAAAGGCAGCCCACAGAATTGGAGAAAACATTTTAAAATCATATATTGGTAAGGAACTAGTATCCAGAATATATAAAGAACACCTAAAACTCAATGATAAAAAGACAACCCAATCTAATGAGCAAAGCACTTGAATGGCTTTTTTGCTGAAGAAGATATACAAATGACCAACAAGTGCACAAAAAGATATTTAACGTATTTAGTCATGTGGAAATGCAAACCAAAATCATGGTGGGATGTGGGGGTGACTTTCCTCGCAAGTCCCGCCTTGTGACATGGATGAAAATAAGTATGACAGAGACATGATATGATCTGCTTGGGGAGGAGAGGTAGCCAGTTTCCCAGAGAAAAAAGGCCTTCAGCAATGGCTAGTTTCTCTGGGGGAAAAGGCGTTGAGCCCCCTCCTCCAGAGGCTTTTATTGGGTTGTAATACACAGGAATACAGGGTGGCAAGGATCAAACAGTAGATAACATTTCAAAAAAATCTGAGGGCTTAGTCTGAGTCAGAGTCTGTCAGGAAGAGAGTTTTTAGGGTTTCCTGCTCAAACCGTTAACGTATGAATGAAAGCGCTCTTAGCAGAGCAGATTTCACAGGTTTACCAGGAAGTCTTTGTGATGCCAGATTTTTCCCCAGGACACGCTCCAGCAAGGCAAGGAGTTGCACCTCTCTTGAATACCAACAGGTATTCAGACTTAAGGGGATTAGAGCCAGGAAGCACTTCTCCCAGAGGACATGGGGACAAGGCTTTGTCAAAGCTGGGGGGCAAGAGTTCATTGTTCCCTCTTTATCACAGCCCCCCCTAGTCCTTCCATGATGGCCTCCCAAGTGGTCGAGTCTGGCTTAGGTTGCTCCCTGCTGTGAGGAGACTTACCCATCAAGGACTTCCAATCATGCTTTGGGGGCAGGGAGGAAACTGAGGCAGCATTTGCTACCAGAGACAAGCCTTGTCTCCTGCAGCTCACATTCCAGAGGTCTCTTGCTCATCCTTAGCCATGGGGCGGGGGTAGAGTTACAATCCCTAAAACCAGGCAGAGTGGTCCACAACAGTGGGATACCACTCCACATCAACTACAATGGCTACAATAAAAAAGACAATAGCAAGAGTTTGTAAGAAAAACTGGAGACCTCACACACAAACGGTGCCAGTGTGTGTTCCCTTGATGCATCAAGCCCCCCCACCCTTTCTCCTTTTTCTCTACCTTATTTTCAGTAAACCTCTTCTTCCTTTTCTTCTTTTTAAAAAAGTTCAGCTGTTTTTCTAAATATTATAATTTTTTTAGATTTTATTTATTTATATTTAGAAGGAAAGGGAAGGAGAGAGGGAGAGAAATATCAATGTATGGTTGCTTTTCGTGCTTCCCCTGATGGGAACTGGCCTGCAACCCAGGCATGTGCCCTGAATGGCAATCGAACTGCGATCCTTTGGTTCACAGACCCATGTTCAATCCACTGAGCTACACCAGCCAAGGCAGTTTAGCTGTTTTATAAAAAAGATTTTATTTACCCTCAGAGAGAGGGGAAAGGAGGGAGAAAAAGATGGAGAAAAATGTCAACGTGAGAGAGAAACATCCATCAGCTACTTCTCCCACTCACTCTGACCGGGACTGAACCCACAAACTAGGTATGTGCCCCAGGAGGAATTGAATGGGTGATCTTTTGCTCTGTAGGATGATGCCCAATCAAGTAAGCCACTGTTTCAACCAAGTGAAAGACTGGTCAGTTCAAACCTCTTCTTTTAAAATCTGTTTTGCCTCCTCTCTTCATTTCTACAGTGGTGGTAGGGGTCAGGGGGGCAAGAGCCCCTTCACTGGTGACAATTTGACAATGAAAAAAGAATATAACACACATGAATTGAGAACATTTTTACCAAGTGGAAAAAACCAGACACAAAAGGCCACATGTTGTATGATTCCATTTCTATAAAATGTCCAGAATAGTTGGAAAAACTTTCAGGGTTCAGGTGCCAGGAGAGGCTCCCAGACTCTCAGAGAGTACATTGGAGAGACCCACAGGGTCCTGGAGAGTGCACAAGCCCACACACCTGGGAACCAGCACCAGAAGAGCCCAATCTGCTTGCAGGAAGCAGCAGAGGAGACTGAAATCTGAGAGAGAGCAGAACAAATGCCATTGCCCCTCTCTGACCCCGCCCCCACGTACAGCATCACAACCCATCTACTGGGTCACCCCACCCTGGTGAACACCTAAGGCTCCGCCCCTCATACATAATAGGCAGGAACAGACCAAAATATTGTGGCTCAAGAAGAACAGCTCAAAGCCCCTGAGCCGATACTTCTAAGCGACTAACAGATAGCTAACCTATCAGATGCACAGTTCAGAACACTGGTGATCAGGATGTCCACAGAACTGGTTGATTTTAGTCAGAAATTAGAGGAACAAATGAAGGCTAAACTAAGTAAAATGAAGGGAAATGCACAGGAAACCAATAGTGATGGGAAGGAAACTGGGACTCAAATCAAGGGAGTGGACCAGAAGAAAGAAAAAAATGACCAAACAGAAAAGAATGAAGAAACAAGAATTCAAAAAAATGAAGAGAGGCTTAGGAACCTCCAGGACATCTTTAAACGTTCCAACATCTGAATTATACAGGTACCAGAAGGGGAAGAGGAAGAGCAACAAGCAGAAAAGTTATTTGAACAAATAATAAAGGAGAACTCCCCCAATCTGGCAAAGGAAATAGACTTCCAGGAAGTCCAGGAAGCTCAGAGAGTCCCAAAGAAGTTGGACCCAAGGAGGAACACACCAAGGCACATCATCATTACATTAGCCAAGATTAAAATGAAGGAGAGAATCCTAGAAGCAGCAAGAAATAAGGGGACAGTCACCTACAAAGGAGTTCCCATCAGACTGTCACATGATTTCTCAAAAGAGACCTTACAGGCAAGAAGGGGCTGGGAGGAAGTATTCCAAGTCATGAAATCCAAAGATCTGCATCCAAGATTGCTCTATCCAGCAAAGCTTTCATTTAGAATGGAAGGGCAGATAAAGTGCTTCTCAGATAAGGTCAAATTCAAGGAATTCATCATCACCAAGCCTTTATTATATGAAATGTTAAAGAGAATTATCTAAGAAAAAGAAGATAAAAAATATGAACAGTGAAAGGACAGCAAACTCACAGTAATTAACAACCACACCTAAACCAAAAGCAAACTAAGAGGACAGCTAGATCAGGAGCAGAACCATAGAAATGAAGATCATATGGAGGGTTAGCAACAAGGGAGTGGGAGAAGGAGAAGGGGGGCGAAGGTACAGAAAATAAGTAGCATACATGGTAGGTAGAAAATAGATGGGGGAGTACAAGAATAGTAGGGGAAATACAGAAGCTAAAGAACTTTAGACATGTGGTCATAAACTAAAGGG